CAAGGAATTCAGCATTTTCCCTCAATTAGTAGCACATCAAAATCTTGATGCCCTAGATACCAAATTCTCTATAAATTCCTATATCCACTGCTTTTTTTGTGATCCTTAACTCTGGGTGTATATACATAACTAACATGTCTGAGGAAATGATTCTTATTACTTCAATTTGCCATCTAAACTCTGAGAATTCTCACACTACAAGGAAGACAGAAGAGCACAGAAGAGAAAACAGACCAAACCAACAGCTATACACATCAGGCAAAACTGGCCAATGTTAGTGTTTTAAAAATACTAAAACATTGTTCCAATAAGCAGAAAATTCCTTTTCCTCGTCTTTATATCAAAGACTCTTAACGTGACCCTTACATCTCTCCCTGAGGTATTCAGCAAACAAAATCAATATGATGGAAAAACTGAGTGAGGCAGGATGGGATTACAAATTCCTTGCTCAGTGAAGGCGTATAAAGTAGACTGAGATTTAGCGTCATTGTTTCTTTATTATATCTCATAGCATAGTTCCCTTCATAAAGTGTTAAAAGTTTAAATATATTTTGTCAGAATAAGAGAATTCTCAAAGTGATGCTTTCTAATAGTCCCTCAAAAGTTACTGGGATCTTTTACTCAATTTAGAATTGAATATACAGGATACTTTTCATAAGCCTGTAATTAACAAAATATGTACTGATAAGCGAAGAAAATTATATTCTCTCTACCTCTCTTACACTTCCCTGAATCTTCACCACAAGAGCAATCAATCACTGGATCAAGCCAAAGATTAAAAAATGCCATTTCACCACATATTTTGGAATTTTTGGCAGTAGAAATGGTACCAATCCCTTACGATCATAGGTACATCACACTTATTTTCTAAGGAGTGCCTCTGAAAGAAATCAAATTACAAATAACCACCAGTTGTATTACCATATATACATGATCTCACATTTTGCAGTCAAAGTACATTTTATTTGTCTTTTAAAAACAATCTCTATCAAGAAGTTTTAGTTTTCAACGCCTGAAACAATTTTTGTAAATAAAATTCACTGCTAGACCAGTTAGTCTCAAATTAAACTAATCACGAGTTGAACCAGAAGTTATAAAGGCTAGAATAAGTTCAGAAAGTATGTAAGTTTCTGGACCAAAAGAGTATCAGAAGATATAAAAATCTGCAAGCATACTGGCTAAATAAATCTTATGAAAAAGGCCTCTATGATCTTTCAGAAAATGATTACATTGAGATCACAACAGGAAATACAAGTGAAAAAGGAATCATTTTACAAGGTAACTTTCATATTATATAATAAACTAACAATATATCTAAACGATGTTAAACAGCCAGAACGAGTGAAACCATACTTATCTGATATGGCACCTTTTACATGTGATAGTAATAAGAATCAGAACGACCTAAAATATTATCCATTAAGGTTCTGCTTTATTAGTCTACTTGTATCATTGAGAGACAACGAAAGTCACATTTGTGAGTGACAAAACTCATTTCCATTCTTTTTGATTCTCTGCCACAAATGCCAGAATCATACTACACATTATAGATGATTGTGATATTTAACTACATTTACACAAAACTGAACATATCAAAATTCTGAGAGGGAAAAATATAGGATGCAAGAGTGCTGGCGGGAGTTGGGGGGGCAGACAAAATATGGGCATCTGCTAAGTACTGTATGTAACTGGTGATGTATTTGGGTGGTGATTCTCCTTTAAGTACTTCCATACTCAACAAACTGTTCAGCTTAATCAGACATCTTCCTAATGTGCAGGAGCTGTGGGGGAGGGGAGACCACATAAGGGGCTTCTTCTCAAGACTGTCTTCTCAAGTATCCTGTACACAAGATTTATTTGATTTCTGAATATTCCTTTTGGTCCGTCCTACATTTCAGATGGATCATGGCCAAACATACAGCCTTGTGATCTTAGAAGACTATATTCAACACATACATAATGAATCAATTTTACAGGTCAAACTCCAAGGAAATAATCTGATCTGGAGAAGTCTATTACTAATACAGAAATTAAGAAAATACTTCTCTGAGATTTATATTTAGAAATCATTCTGAAAAGGGCAGTTCTTTTTAGGGTTTAAGATTCCAAATTTAGTAAAATGTTTAGCAAAACATCTACTCAATAAGTTAACTATGGCTTAATGACTGGAAGGAGACAACAAAATATCAAAATTGATTCAACGACTAAAGAGATAGAGGGAAACATGTCAGTTGTAGAAAAAAGAATGGATATTTTTCCCATTCTGGTTCTCAGGAAGATCCTTAAATTCCTATTAGTTTTAAATGGACAGAAAAATTAAAACTCTAACGGAACTTTCAGTCCTATCCAAGCACAAATCACCAGATAAAAGCCAATAATCTGCCAAAAAAACAAAAACAAAAAACCAAACAAAAAAGAAAAAAGCGTCTTTAACATGATCCAGTTTCCAGAAGCTGATATCCATAAATGGGTAGAAGATTATAAATTGCTAATTCCCATCTCCCTACCAATAAAATGTGAATCAGCTCAGCAGTGAAAATTCCCAGGATAGCAAGGTTTCTCCTCGGTCCTGAAGCAGCCATCGCCTAAGTGCAGCTCCCTGCAGCCAACAGCATTAATGGACGCTGCACTGCTGTCCTTCCCTGGAGACAGCAGCCAGCACTACTCAAGCTTCTCACGTAGCAACCAGAGCTCCAGAGCCAGCAGCTGCTGCTGCCTTGTATACTCACCCCTGTGATCCAACCCAAAGGAACAACCTTCTCCTTACCCCACCCCCACTCCTTACACACACTTTTTTTTTTTCTGGACCAGTGTTCTATGCCAGAAGGGATGGAATTACGCTTTTAGAAAGAAACAATCCTAAGGTCACCCTTTTAGTTTTAAACTAGGGTGTTTTACTGGAAAAGTCAACATTTACCAAATTCCAAACATCCATTTTAACTAAGCTAGCAATTGAGGAGCGAAAATTAAGCTTGAGTCTTTAAAAGGCCAATTTTCCAAACAATTTCTTTACAGTCAAATTTGAATTTGCAGCTAGAGACAGAGCCTTGTATCATGTCCTATTAAACGACATAATTCATTTTTCTATACATAATGAAAGTCTGAGTAACCCTTAAAGACTCCAATCCTATAATGGGCCAGAATTTTTGGCTACAGAAGAAAACTAATGCTCCTCCTGAGAAAACTGGAAGAAATCCAATAAAACAAAATTTCCTGTGTCCTCCAAGAGGCCCAGAAACCTCTGATTATGTGAATATTCTCTGCCTTAGTCCTAGCTCAGATTCCACACACCTAAAATTACCACCTATAACTTTTCTCTCAGAGTGACCTAAAAACATTTAATGATATAAAATTAACCACCAAGAAATTTTCCCAAATACGGGGTACACAAACATTCTCCTGAAAAGCTCATAACACTTAAATCGGCTGGATACTCTCCAATTAAAAGTATAGCTATGGAACATCTGCCCAACAAAAAAAATGTAAATATGACCTTGGTCACAAATATAGCATTTAAAAGCGACTTATTTAGTCGAGTGACGAAAGAAACTAAAGAACCTGGATTCTTCTAGTACTAGGAACACGAGGAAAACTGGAGAAATGAACTAAAGTAGAGACAAAGCCCAATGGAACCCAGAGCTCTGGGTAAGAAATGAGTTCCTGGTGAACACATTGCACAAGTAACATGAGAAAGCAGAAAATGCAGGTCATACACGCACCCCTGACCCAGACCAGCAGAGCTGGCTGCAGCATCAGTATCCCAGGGAAAGACCAGCTCTTCTTAAGAAGCCAGACAAGCAAAGGAGCGCCATAGAATAAATTAGCATCGAAGGGGCTTTCCCAACAGTTAAACTTTCCCTCTCACGCAATTCACCTACTTAAAAAACCAGGGCTTTTTCGCACCACCATTCACCTCGGATCCCTGGCTTCCACGCAGAGGGAAAGGGAATTCATAAAGGGTACATTTTTCTTCCTTTAAAGACGTTCTCAAACGATCGCTCTCCACGCCCAAGGCAGGGAAAACGACACTGTCTGGCTCCACTCCAAGCTCGAACCCTACAGATCGCAGGGGGCTATCGGAGACACCGGGGCATACGCCACTGAGCGCCCAAGAATGCAAGGTGGGGGCGGCGAAGGTAACGTCTTTAGTGTGGGAAAGGAAGCAATCAGCCGCGATGGGGACCCGAGAACGAGGGGGAAGGCGTCCAGGAACGTTATGGAGGGGAGATGGAGGCCCCCAGAGCCATCGGAGTTGTCACAAGGCCGCGCGAGCGGGGGTGGGGGCGGGGGTGAGGTGAGGGGAAAAAGTATGCCTGTGTATTTCGAGAGGAGGGCAAGGAGAGGCCTACCCTCAAGGAAAAGGTAAACGTGGAGTAGGCAGTTCCCAGGGAAGGAGGTGAAGAGGCGTGGGGGGAGGGGAAGCGTCCTGACCCAGGAAAGACGGGAAAAGCGTCGTGGGGTCGACTGGATCACGGAGGGGACCTCTCCCCCTGGGAAAGTGGGGCGTGGGGGCTGGCGAGGGGGCTGAGAAGGGGCAGCATCCTCCTGCTACGAGCCTGGGGAGGGCCAGGCCCGCGTCCCGAGAGCGAGCGCGGGGAGACGGAGGAGGTGACCCTTCCCTCCCCCGGGGCCGGTCTTAAGGGTAGGGCTCGCTTTTCTGTCGGACCCTTACCTTGTCCCAGGCGCTGCCGGGGCCTGGGCCCGGGCTGCGGCGCACGGCACTCCCGGGAGGCAGCAGGACTCGAGTTAGGCCCAACGCGGCGCCACGGCGTTTCCTGGCCGGGAATGGCCCGTGCCCGTGAGGTGGGGGTGGGGGGCAGAAAGGCGGAGCGAGCCCAAGGCGGGGAGGGGGAAGGGCCAGGGAAGGAGGGGGGCCGGCACTACAGTGTTGGCGGACTGGCGGGACTGGGGCTGCGTGAGTCTCTGAGCGCAGGCGGGCGGCGGCCGCCCCTCCCCCGGCGGCGGCGGCGGCGGCGGCGGCGGCGGCGGTAGCAGCAGCTCACTCAGCCCGCTGCCCGAGCGGAAACGCCACTGACCGCACGGGGATTCCCAGCGCCGGCGCCAGGGGCACCCGGGACACGCCCCCTCCCGCCGCGCCATTGGCCTCTCCGCCCACCGCCCGGCATCCATTGGCCAGCTCGCCGCCAATCAGCGGAAGCTGCCTGGGCCGCCTAAAGAAGAGGCTGTGCTCTGGGGCTCCGGCTCCTCAGAGAGCCTCGGCTAGGTAGGGGAGCGGGACTCTGGTGGGAGGGAGGTCCGGCGGATTGCGGGGGATGGGTGGCTGAGGTGGTCTGACTGGGAGCTGGGCGGGATGCCTTCTCCCGCGGGAAGTCGGGAGTAGAACGATTGTTACGCTGGAAGGGAAAGAGGAGGTCAGAGGCAGACGGGAGTGCGGCCCGCCCTGCGGCAACCGGAGGGGGAGGGAGAAGGGAGCGGAAAAGCCTCGAATCCGGACGGAGCCATTGCTCCCGCAGAGGGAGGAGCGCTTCCGGCTCACCTCTTGTCACTGATTGGCCGCTTCTCCTCCCGCCGTGTGTGAAAACACAAATGGCGTGTTTTGGTTGGAGTAAAGCGCCTGTCAGTTACAGCCTCGGGAGTGCGCAGCCGCCTGGGGACTCGCATTGCCCCCTGGGTGGGGTGGGTAGGTAGGTAGGGTGGGGAGATCTGGACGAGCGGGCGCGGTCGGCCTCCCGCGAGGGGGAGGGGAGGGTCAGTGAAAGTGGCTCCCGCGCGGGCGTCCTGCCACCCTCCCCTTCAGGGGAGTAGCTTTACCCGCCGCCTGCTCGGCTTCGGCATTTGATTGGCTGCTTTAGCCCGGGGAACGGCCCCTTGCTATTGGCTCGGGTCCCAAATGAGCGAAACCACTGCGCGGGTCGGCGGGGGTGGCGGGGAGGCGGTCGTTGGTACGGCCCTCCCCGAGGCCCTGCGCCGCAGTGTCTGGCCCCGCGCCCCTGCGCAACGTGGCAGGAAGCGCGCGCTGGAGGCGGGGGCAGGCTGCGGGGCCGAGGCTTCTGGGTGGCGGCGACCGCAGCTCCGCCCCGGGCGCCCGCCGCCCAAAGGGCGAGACAAGCCCTACCTGCTCCCGTGCCCGTGGGGGTGGGGGAAGGAGCGGGGGTCGGTCCTGCTGGTATGTGGGTGGGAGGTGCATGGTCTCCAAAAATCGGCGCGAGCTGCAATCCTGAGGGAGCTGCAGTGGAGGAGGCGGGGAGAAGGCCGCACCCTTCCCGGCAGGGGGAGGGGAGTGCTGCAATACCTTTATGGGAGTTCTCTGCTGCCTCCTGTCTCCGAAGGACCGCCCTGGGCCTAGAAGAATCCCTCCCTCCCCCGCGATCTCGTCATCGCCTCCATGTCGAGTCGCTCTTTCTCGATCATGGGAGGAATTCTTTTGCCCGGGCTTAACCTGGTGCCTGGGCGTTGTCCTGCAGGGAATTGAGCAGGTGTAAGATTTTGAGGGTGAGCCCAATTTCTCTGTCTTGCCACAGACTTGAGTTTATGTCACAAAGTAATTATAATAAGGGTGGAGGAGGGAAATGGAGTCCAGGCGTTCACCTGGGGCTGATTTTATGCAGTGAGGCTGCGTGTTGTTAGGTTACCTAACATCCTCTTTGTAGCATAAAGGGAGATAGATTAAAGGCATGATCACCTGAGTTTTTTACTGACCCCCCCCCCCCCCCATTTGAGACCCTTGCTACACCAACAAAGTATAGCATCTCAGATTCGATCTTAATCTTAAAATTTTAGGCCCCCTCCCTTACATCCCTAGGTCAGGCATCTTAGCAACTCTCACTCACACTTTGAACCCATTTTCTGTTTGTTGTACTTGCTCATCCAGTCCCCAGACATACCACTGGCTTTCTCCTCTCCTGTTTTTGGTAGCCTGGTGAGTCATGAAACCAGATGGGTTGGTTCCAGCACCAGTTAAGGCTACCTACTTGAGCAGAGGCCTCACTCTTACCCAGCAATACATTTATTCCTCCTTTATGGGTTTTCTTGGATGTTTACCTTGATTTTCATTTTATCCTTTTTCCTCAGCTGGGATTCTATCCTTGACGCTCTTCACAGTCCAGATGATCTTGACTACTGCTTTACTGCGAATTGGATGTGAGGTTCAATAACATCATCCTTTTACCTCCTTTGAATACCTCTCGATCTCTTTATTTCTGTTCTCAACAGTAACTGAGCTCAGTTCTTGTAATGCTAACAGCCTCTAAACTGATATCTCAGCTTCCAGTATCATCTCCTGATCCATCTTACATGTTGCCAGGACAGTTGTCCTAACACGCAAAGCATGAAAATGACTTATGCAACTCCTTTACTGGCTCCTAACTACTTGCCGGATGAATTCCATCATCATGAATGTGATATACAAGGTCCCTCAATGGGCTAACTTCATCTTCTCTTAATTTTTTCATTTGACACGATTTTCCACAAACACTACCTCTCTACTCAAGTGATACAGAATTGGTTGCTGTTTACCCAAGTCATAGTCATGTTGTCATACCTCTTTGTAGGGTAGTTCCTTCTGGAATGCTACCCTTGATGCTCCTTACTCTTCACACCTGTTTAAGATTCAAATATCATCTCCCTTATGATCTTGCCTTCTGTGATCTATCGTCCTTTAAGCAACACTCCCCTGTAAAAAAGTTAGCAATGCTTTCTCCTGATCTCATAGCAAGTTGGATCACAGCACTTCTCAGGTCATTGTCATTGCTTGTTTAAATTCTTTTGATTGTTCTGAGCTTCTTGAGGGTACAGGTTCTTGTTGAGTCTTGTATCACTTAAACATCTAGTGTATTCCTTGATGTCTGGCCAACCCTAAATAAAATGGAGTGAGCAACATGTTGATGTCTTTACAAGGTCTTTTAGATTATTGGTTTCTCAAACAGTTCTTTGTATGCGTGCTAGTGCTCTAGATTAGCACTGTCCCATAGAACCTTCCACCACAGTGGAAATGTTCTGTGTCTGTGCTGTCCACTATGGAAGCCACTAACCATATATTACTGTTGAGCACTGGAAATGTGGCTAGTGTGACTAAAGAACTGAATTTTATGTAATTTAAATTTAAATCGCCACTGTAGACAGTTTATATGTGGCTGCAGCCACAAACTTGTGTTGTGGATTGCAGAATACTTAATAGGGACATTGATAATTTTCTCTTCATATTGAGCAGTAAGGAAATAAAAGTTGAATCTCTCTGGCCCATTTAGGGTTTTTTTTCGTGCTTGTTTTATTTTACCTTTTTCTCTACTTCAGCTGTACTTAGCTGAGAGCTAAATCCAACAAACCATTACTAAAGATAAACCTGCCTTGGACAACAATGTGTTGAGAAAGTAAATGTTGGCTAGTTTGAATTTCAAAAAAGGATGCATACTGCATTTTAGGGAAATGGGATTTCATTAAACCTTAATGGTGACAGAAGATTAGTGAGGAATAGGACTATATCTGATGTTACTGAAACTAGCCCTAAATTTCAGTCCTACGAGTTTTCATTTTTGGAAAACTTCATCAGAGGAAGCCCTAATTATCATATCTTAAGTTATAGGGAACCATCACAAAGTAAGTTTCATCCTGATGGAGTATAAATTAATAGATGTTATCTTAACACCAAAATGGTTTTTGATTTATGTGCTAATAGAGCATCTTGTAAATTTCAATTATATTTTTTAAAAATATATTTGACAAAATTTCTCCTTAGAATATGAGATCCTTAGGATAGGGGTCTTCAAACCTCTGTGCACACAGACACTTGGCTTGCTATTTAATGCAGATTGCCAGTTGCACACCCAGAGATTTCTGAACTCAGTTAAGATAGACGGATGGGGGGGCACTAGAATTCTGAATCTTTTTCAAGTCCTCATTTGCTTCTGAAGGTGGCCCAGAAACCACGCTGCAAATACAGCCCTGGGGGTGTAGTATGCCTATTTTTCTGACAAAAATTATTACAACTTCAGAGACACACCTAATACTATATGTCCCCTCTACTTTGGGACTTTTTTCCTCCCCAAAAAACTGAATGAATGGGAAAACATTTTGAAAGGCAAAGAGGAGTAGTAGTTAATAGTTTTGGAAACTTGCAGGTCAGGATTTTTGTTGTTTTTTTTTTTTAAGGGAGGTTAAAATATTCCAAATACTGTTTTTTGAACCAGTAAGTTCTCCTGTCTGTTTTCCCATTCAATGCATTCCTCAAGGATACAGATTTTTGATTCCCCAGTACCTAACAACAGAGCTGGGTACTCAATAAATGCAGATTTATTAAAACCATTTATATGTGAAATTGGTTTTCAAATAATAGCTTAAGTCCACAAAACACAGAAACAAGGCTCCTTTTATGGAGCAACTTTAGGGTCACACTTAACCTGAGTCTCCTGATTTTCTCCTCATAAAGGAAGCTGACGCCTGGTCTCTGAATTCCCCATTTAGCAGTTCCTTGGCTTTCCTGTACGAACGTTGCACTTAACCCTCTTCCTGTGCTTTACTTCCTTGGGATTTATTCATTTTTTTGTTTTTTAAATAAACCGGCTACTATCTCCTTTTGAAGTAGAGCCATATTATTTCTTTGACTTCTAGGACAAAAATTAAGTATACTGAACACTGGTACTTACATGAGAGTTGAAGTTTTTGTAAGGTTTTTTTTTTTTTTAGATTTGCAAAGTTTGATCTACATAATGTTTCTTCCATATTTTTCAATGCATGGAGGAGGTTTGCTATAATTATGATTTGCAACTGTTAATCCAATATATGATAGGGATCAGGATCACAAGGGTAAGACTAGTTTGACTATTTTAGGCCAAACTTAGTTGTAGAGCACCTTATTAGGTCACATATCCAGGAGTCTGGTACTTTACTCACAATTCTTGATTTTGTTAGTTTACCTAGTGACATACTATTTTATATGAAGACATATTTCTCCAGAAGACTATTTTCTTGTCCATGACTCCCCATTCTTGATGGAGTGGGTGAAAAACTGGATTGTTAAGAACTGTTAGTAGCATGGAATCTGGTTTATTTCATCTAGGCCGGGGTTGAACCTGATGAATTATTTGTGGTATCATGGTGTATACCTTCTTGGTGACTAGAGAGACTACTTCTGCCTTTGATTTTATCTGAAAGTCGTGATTACATTTACTAATCCTGCTTTCCAGCTTTTTTTCCTAGAGTTCACAGTCATCACTGACCTTTAGTTTGTTACCCTTTGTTTTCTGGTTTTCTAGTTTTTTGGGTTTT